ATATATATGTGATTGTCATGCTATTCTGAATATCACAAAGAGTTAAAATCAGCCAGATTTAAGCTTATCATATTTGTATTGCTACATGCCCTACTTTGAATTTCTCAGTGGGTCTGTTAATTTTCCTGTGAGATGATTTTTGGGTATATCCAAAAGCATACTCTGAATGATTAGGATACTTTTAAGAATTTGTCCTATTAGCAATCTAGCTTCTGGTAATATACCCCCCTATGCTAAAACAATCTGTTTTTATTAAACTGACATTATCCAATAAAATATGAGCAAAGGAAGCTAGTTTTAAGATGGAGTGAGTCCATTGTTTCCACATTTTGGAACAGAGTCCATAAGATCTATCATACTGAATTTGCCTGTTAGGTCTAAATTATTGGCTTCTCAGGCAAGATATACTAATGTAAAGGAAATAGGTTCATACATATATTAGTAATTCATATGAGTTCTTATTTGATTCATAGCCCCTCTCCCCTCTGTGTGTGTAAACGTGGGCCTCTGAAGGGACATTTAGGAGTTCGGAAGCCTCTCGGGGTGCAGGCCTTCTTCCTGCACACCTGGGCAAGACCCCGGCCTTAGATGAACATGAGGATCTAAAGCTAACTACAGTCGTCCCTTCAGCATCTAAGGGAGATTGGTTCCTGGATCCTAACCCCACGGTGCTCAAGTCCTTTATATAAGAGGACATAGTATTTGCATAGAACTTGTGTACTTTAGGTCATCTCTAGATGATGAATAACACTTCATACAATGGAAACACTGTGTAATTAGTTGCTATACTGTAATGTTTAGAAAATAACACAAAAGTCTACATGTTCAGTACAGTCTCAGTTTTTGTTGTTGCTGTTCTTCTTCTTCTGAATATTCTTGATCCGTGATTGGTTGAATCCACAGGTGTGGAATCCACACATAAAGACAGCTGACTATGTGCTTTCCTAGACCTCTGGTTAAAAATAATTTAGCACGGTTTTGCTTTTCAAAGTCTTGTTTATCTTGGAATTATTTACTAATGGGTTAGTTTGGGAGGCAGAGAATTTGACTTTTGTATTGAATCGAGGATGCTTCCAGGATATGTGTCCATTAGAAAAATAATGCTGGAAGGCAGTATAGTAAAAAAATAGGCTGCCATCTTTGCTTCTGGATGGGTGAATATTTTGCCAGCACAGGGAAAAATGTGCTCAGAGTACCCTAGTGCTTTGTGGCAGAGAAAAGCAAATACAGTGAGAACCAGTGAGGTAGCATGCCCCTGCTATTGTAGTGCATAAGACTTTGTTTTCATAGCCCCAAGATTTATACCGCCCTCATAGTTGTCAGCAGATAAAAATCACAAGAGTGAATTTCAGTTACATTTTCCTCTATTGAGGTCCAGGTAAAGCTGGTTTTCAGTTCTTGTACTTTCTACCTTGATAGAACAGAGACTTAACAGCAAAATGTGCCAGTCCAGAAATAGAAATTAAACCTAGGGTAATATCAAGTATCCTTTACCCCTGGAAAAGGAGTTGCTGTTTGGATTACTTTTGATCCTAAAACAAACATACCATTGAATATCACAGTGTACCTGATGTGTATGCACCTTTCCCTGTGAGCCACACCCTTGAAGTTGTTTTCATTCTACAATGCTTTATTTCTTTTGCAGCATTTGAGGCAACTTGGTTTATCAGCGGAGTAGGTTACACTTTGCTGAATGCAAATTACTAGCAACAGACATATACATTTCAGTCTGCAGGAAGAATGAAACTAGATTTAGAAAATTGATAGCAGACCTTTGTCTGTATTACAAAGTCAAACCTTATGCTACAGTTTGGATACAAAGATAAGGACAGAATAAGTGGGAAATGTGAAGTGAGAATTTTGGGGTCAAGGTGCTTAGTTTGTTGATGTGTATTTTATAAAATTTCTGATAAAATTGTTTATATCTCTCCTTCATGTTACAAAAGACCTATAAGCAGCCCTCGCTATTTTCTCTTTCCTTTCTTTCCTCCTTCTTTTCCTTGCTTCTGTGTTTTTCTTCCTGTCTGTCTTTTCTCTCTACTGTCGACATGGTAATTTTGCTGCAGGTCCTTCCTGAAGACACTGCTACAGAGTTCTGAGCAGAGCCACACAAAAAGCTTAATGAAATACTAGTCAGTAAATAGAATTGATAGTGAACTCTACATATCATCATGATCCAACAGCGTCCATTTCTTGACTCTATCCTAAAATAGTTTGGTGTAAGTTTTCATTATTATTTTAAAGGCTACATTTGATAATTTTCTCATTAATTTTTTAGCAACAGAAAGACAGTGCAAACTTGTTTTTTGAATTACCTTGTCTGACCTTTTGCAAGTTGATAATTACAAAAACGGGAGGGCTGGAAAACTTGTAAAAAAATGTAAGCTTATAAAGTAGCTAAAATGGTCCTTCTGTGCTGGTGTTGATTTCAAAATTAACATTTTGGTTCATGTGCTTCTAATAATCACTGACCCTTACCTCGTGTACTTTCCACAGGAAATGAATACGGCAGAAATTACTTTGACCCACTGATGGATGAGGAAATAAACCCAAGGCAGTGTGGGATGGAGGTCAGCAGAGAGGGTGAGCTAGAATTAAGTATGTAATTTTTGTGTCAGAATATTCTTTTCCATTCATGAAAATGAGGTGACAAAGATCACACATGCAGTTCCGCTTAGATTTTGCAGCTTACAATTTAAATGGTAAGTTCTAACCACTAACAGCATGATGGGCAGTGAAGGTAATTTTTGATCAAGGACAACAAGCTGGTGAGATGAAAATAGCATCAGTCTGCTTTCATCTGGGGCTATTATGAAAAGTTTGGGCCATTGTAAGACCAATGTCATGCATCTGAGGGACATCACTTTGCAAATGCATCTTTGCCCTTCAGATTTAAAATGAGCATTCTCCAGAAAGATGCATCAAGCACATGAGCTTTCCGTTCACCATGACTATTGAATTCCTTTCACTGAATGTGCAAAATCATCACCTAACCTTTGAGCCACAGAGATGCAGATATGATGATAATATTCTTTCCTGCAATCTTAAATCTAGTAGTGGTTGTAAAATAACAATTCAGAATTGCTCCTTAAGTGCATACCTCTGTGCCAGTGTTACAGTTTACAAAGTATTCTAGAATTTACAAAGGTTATCGGTGAGATAATGACACTGGTAATTGTTCCTCAGAGTTGTTCCCATTCAGAAGATCATATCCAGTACTAGCTACCAGTAATGGAAACTGCATGTTTTAATAAGAGACTGGGCTAATTTTTCACAAATAAGAGGGTTCAGATATAGTGCAAAGATTATTTTATGAAGCAATTCTCAATAAACTAAAGCTATTTTAATGATGTAGCATTCACAGATATCATCAAAGGACACATGTGTGAAATAAGACACAGATTTACTCTTAGGGAAAGTTTTTACCAGTTGTTGAAACATCAAGGTGAATTTGAAACTGGAAAATCTCAACTTTTTTCTTTTTGCTTATAAACACTTGAAGGGTGTGAGACAATCCTAGTGACTTTTGGGGAGAGGTATTAACTGAACTGTCATTTAAGGCTTGATTTTGATTTCTGAGTGGCCACAATCATATGGGTGTATTTGGTAGGATTTCTGTAATGCATATACTCCCTAGTTTAGGAACGCTATCTTATTAAGGTTTGTTGGATGAATAAAACATGAATCTAACTACAGAAAAGTACGTTTCCTTCAGATAGGCTTGAGTATCCCTTGCCTAGAAATGCTTAGGACCAGACTTGTTTCAGATTTTGGGTATTTTAGATTTTAGAATATTTCCATATGCATTATGATACATCTTGGGGATGGAAAATAAGTCTAAACATTTTATTCACTTATGTTTTGTATGTATTTAATACACATAGCCTGAAGATAAATTTTATACAATATTTAAAGTAATATTGTGCATTAATTTTCTGTTCAGGCAGGAATTTTCCACTATGTTATCTGGTTGACAGCCAAGAGTTGTGGATTTTCAAATTAGAGATGCTCACCCTGTATCTATGGTCACTCTAGCCCCTTCTCAGGTCAGTCAGTTAATGTTGGCCAATATCTGGGGTTAACTTGGGTGCACATTTTAGGCAAGGTGGCTCTGTCTTTGTCTGCCCCTAGCCTGGGCTGTTCTGGGGTCTGTCAGGGGGCGGAACTGGTGCTGTCACCAGGAGGAGTCCCACCTCCAGCTTTCTTTCTACTGAACTCCTTCATTCCCTCTTTTTATTTCTCTTCTGTTTCCTATTTTCTCTCCTCACCTCTTCAGTATTTTCTTTCTCTCCCTTCCAAGATTCTTTCTTGACTAGATCTATTTTATTATATTTATTTGAAAAAAAAGCTCTACATTCCTTGTCATCTGAACAGATTGAACACCTCTAGATTCCTTGTCATTTGCACAGGTTGAACACTAGATTTCTTTTCTCTCAAACGGATGAAAATCTTTGTCCTTTATTTCATTTACATGACTTCTTTCCCCCATTTAAATGACTTAGGAAAAGTCATTTGAAAAAGAGATTTTTCTCTTTTTGTCTCCTATATTCTGAATGAGGGACTCTATGTATCCATGTGATATAAATGAATGCAACGGGCTAAATGTAGCTGTAAGCGGTTCAGTTTGCCATGCATTTCTGCCTCCTTCTAGAATGCTTCTGTGAACCAGTCCAATCCGAATGGCTAACTCAGCCTCTACACTGCATATGCAACCAAGGAGAGCAATATAATGGGAACTCCATGTGGCAACTTTGCGGGTCATGTTCATCTGTTACTGTGTTTGCAGCAATTAGTTTCTCAGACATAAAATACTTAATACACATTTGCCTAAAATGTAATGAGTAATGTACAGGTATGCTCTGATTATCTATGACCCGGTACAGATAATACTATTTTTCATATTTTCCAAAGAGGCACAACTAATAGAATTACACTTTCTATAAATAATTCATATTGTGTAACACATGTGTTTCTATTACATACATACTGATTACATAGTGCATATATGTGCATATGTGTAGATGACAGAAAGATTTTAAAGAATTGGGTCACTCAGTTTTAGGAGCTAGCAAATCTGTTCATAAGGCAGGCAGGCTGGAATTCTGGTCAGACTGGGTGTGAAGCTCAGGTAAGAACTCCTGTTGCTGCCGTTAAGCCCAAGTTCTGCAGAGGAGAGACCATAAATAGAAATCTTAATTTCTGTGTTGAGTGTTGAGGAGAATTTCTTCTTCTTTGAGAAACTTGAGCCTTTTCTCCTAAGGCCTTTGACTGGCTGGATGAGTCCCACCTACCGTAGGGAGAGTAATCTGCTTTACTCACAGTCTGCTGAGTTAAATGTTAACCTTTACAAAATTGACAGCTTTACCTATTAATAACACCTAAACAGTACCCCACAGCAAGTAGATTAGGGTTTGACCAAACAATGGGCATCTATCCACGTCAGGTTGATGTGTAGAATTAGCCATGACAGATTGCGGTTAGTAGCAATTTATTCATTTCTAATAGTATTTTATAGGGTGGTGAGGGCCTGTTGATGTGATATACTAAATGTGTACTCTCTGTGCACTAGAACGTAACTCTGCTCTTTTGTCTTATCTTGCTTTTCGCATTGGCACGAGCCCTAGTTATTAGTTACACATTTATTGTTACAATTATCTCTTCAGAAGCTTTCTTCTCCACTAGACTTTACATTTCCTTAGGATTTGGCACAGTGTTTGGTTCATAGATGATGTGATGCCCAGTGTGTATCTACTGAAATGGAAATAACAAGATTGCATCTCACATGCTGCTGCCTCTCATTACCGCCACTGCACACCCAATTCCAAGTTGACGTCACTTCCTGCCTGGAATTGCTCAACCATTTTAGTCCTCTCCTCCTGTTCCCCTTCAACCCACCTTCTAGATACCACTGGAGAACTTACTTTTAAAGTCAGTCACATCTCCCCACTCCCTCCTGTTTATTGCTTTTAGAGTGAAGACCAGTACACAGTCATGCACTGCAGAAGTGTAGGATGCATTCTGAGAAATGCATCAGTATGCAGTTTCCCACTGCCTGAGCATCTTATACATAAACCTACAGGGAGTGGCCTAGGCTCTGAACTGGACATCAGTATCTTCATTTCTAAGATGAAGAAACAAGCTCAGTGAGATTTAGTATCTTTCCCCGAATCACAGAGATCTGGCAACTGCAGTTAGGAGTTCAGATTCCTATCTTTGGCACAGTCTCTTGTCTTCCCCTCAGAAATTGTTTGACTTGTTGGATTTCTCATCTCTTCCCTCTGAGAAGATCACTACAAGGGAAAGGAAAACTGGTTAGCCCAAATCGTTGAACTTGAATTTGCAGGGTTTTTCTCTTGCCTTCACCTTCTGTGTTGTGACCCGTTTGACTCTCCAGGAATGAGTCTGCTTGGAGTGCCATTGATAGGAAGCTGCACACTTGGCTTTCTAAGGACCAGACCCTCTATGGAAATTGTCAGTTAGGTCTGCTTCACTCAGGTTCCTTACAGACAAACCCCCAAAAGTTATTCACAATGTGTCACTTCGTGGTGAAAACAAAAATATTTAGTTCAGAATGACTGAAGTCAAACAATGAAAAATTGTGCATTTCATGCAATTGCTAAGTACTTAAAAACAAACAAGCAAATAAATGGAGGAGACTACCTTTGCCAAATGCCTACAGCATGTCAGGCACGAGCCTAAGTGTTGTATAGTATTAGCTTTTTAGTCTCACAACCATCCTGTTTTATGGGCAAGAAGATTAAAGCTGAAGGACTCTAAGAAACTCCCTCAAGTTTACACAGCTGCTAAGTGGTGGTGCTGGCGTTTTTATACAGGTTTGGCTATTACCAAACCTATGCCATGCTGTCTCTCCTCTAAAGATGTTTTCTCTCTGTTAATTCTGCTGGGACTTTTATTACTTCAGTATAAAATTTCTTGTCTAAGCATCTTCCAGGATTCTTTTATGAGCCAGTCATGTGTAAGCTTTATAAATTTTGTAACTGTCCCACTAAGAATTATAAAGATTCAGGCAGTATTGGAATAATGGCATGCATTCCTGACACGTGATCCACAGCATACATTCTGGGAGAGGCTTCCCTACCCCTTCCCTGAGTCAACATTGGGCTTTTAGGTTCTGTGCGGGCTTTTGGCAAGAATAGAAAATTGGTAGGTCGACCAGTAATTGAAAAAGCCTTCTGGAGTATCCAGTGAGCAGAAGTTGCTAGCTTCATAGGTCTTTTTATGTCATGTTCTTCTGTCCCAGTGGCCCCAGCTTTCCTCTTCAGTCATTCCAGGCCCATTAGTACTGACTACAATGAATTGTTTTTTTTTTTTTTGCAATACTGATATTGAAGGAATCTGAGATCTTGATAGAAAGGGAAGACCTAGAATTATCAAGAATTTTTAATTTTGAGAATAAAGATCCATCCAGATGTTTCTGTAGTACTTGGTGGAGTTGCAGAATTAAATATCATCTTCAGAACTGACCCACCCACAGATAGTGAAATGGTAAATTATAGAAATATAAGGGTTGAGAGCTGTGCATTTAGCTCAGTGGCACCACACCTGCCTTGCAAACACAAGGTCCTGTGTTTGATTCCCCCATACCAAAAGAAAAGAAAAAAATAAAAAGAAATATAAGGGCTGTATGGACAGAAGCACAGTAAAAACACATGGTTCAGTTGCCTCCCATGGGAAGGAAAACACATTTAATGTATTAATATATGTGTGTATTTTAATTCTAAGACTACAGTGGTCATTTAGTTTGCATTGTTAATGTTTGATTCCATCTAATGGCAGGGGATAACATCTAGATCACCCTCTTTTGGTCAGAGAAGGGCCTCTGAATGGAGATCATGGCCTTAGCCTGCTAGTCAAGTGTTGTCACATTGAGCTATGTGACCAGGTCTAAATGACCTTTGAAACCCTCTTCTAGGGTGTGGGGTATAGCTCAGGACCTGGGGGTGTAGCTCAGTGGTAGAGCACATGCCTTGTGTGTCCAAGGTCCTGGGTTACATTTTAGCACTGCAATAAAAAACAAAATGAAAAAAAAAAAAACAAGACAAATAGAGCTGTCTTCTAAAATTTCTTTTTTGTTGATTTTTTGGTATTGGGGATTGAACTTGGGTCTTTCTGCTTGCAAGTCAGGCGACGGAACCACTGAGCTAAATCCCTGGCCCTAGAATTATGTATTTATGATTAAGTTTTTGATTTTGGTTTTGTGTTGTTTTTCAGGGTATGGGTAACATCATGTTCTTGTTGCTTTAAATTCACAACAGAGCTAAGAATTCTGAATTCTTTAATACATGCTGTTGCAATATGATAGTATATGTAAAAGAACAGAAGACCACCAAAGTCTGCACTCCTTACATATACCAAATAGAAAATATATATAGAGAGCAGCTAATGGGAAACATTCACTCATTTTGATCAGATACTTTAATATTCTATTTTATGATTTGACAAGCCATAATATGATTGTTGGAATGATTCTTGAGTAATAGATGTCATAATCCATTGACTGTGAGATGCTTTTTATTGGATATCCTGCATGCCCTGTAATATTCATTTAAATCATTGCTCCAATTATCATCGATTTATGAAAGATTTTTTTCAGAACAAGGAGCATATTGAGTGCAGTTTCTGTTTGTGACCCATAGTATAGCTATATAGTTCTGATGATTAATTACTTCTTTCAATAATTATATTTGCATATCTCTAACGTAGCTGATAAGAAAGTTATTCATATATTCTTTTTAACATCCCTACAAGGTGACAACAAAGTTTTCTGTAATCAATTAATGGAGTTGTCTGATGAGAGTGGACGAGAAGAATCTCAAGGTAAGCGACCAGTTGTATTCAAAAGTGAGATGAGTATTAGTTGTAAATTGATTGATAAAGCTTCTCCCAAATGTTGACCTTTCTTTTATAAATACAACTATTCATTGATGAATTAATGTGTGCTTTTGTTTGTTGTAAATATTGAAAAGTAGCTAAAGTTTGTGGGAAATAATTATGCCCTTATTTTCTGTGCTTGTATACAATATATGAACACAAGTGGCAAAATGATTTGAGACTTACTATTGCAGAATCCTATAATGCCATGTGTCCTGTTTGGATTCACTGATTTATGAAGCTATGTACCATACCTTTTACAGACTGTTATAGCTTTTTAAACAAATGCTTTGGGGTGATAGAGGGCAGGTAGTGTATTATTTTCAAACTTAGCATAGGGATTCATATTTATAAATATTAGGTTCTTTCTAACAAGTGAGGAATTATTACATGTATTAAAACAAATTGAAGGCAGTCATTTAAAAACTAAATTCTAAGTTCTCAGTTTGATGCACAGGAATTCATGCTAGACCATATTACAGTTTTATAAAAGCATTAAGTGAAAGTTGCTATGAATGCATATAGTTCAATTCATGTAAAGTCAGTCTGTGAATTCACAGGGTGTACTTAGTTCTCCTCAAACCATCATTTTGTCTTCCTTATTAAAATAACTACTTAAAGTACCTAAGAGGACAAGGGCCTCTGGTGATTCGATTTTCTAATAGTTGTAGCTATTATTTCTATTGAATTTATGCTTAGGTTTCACTATATACTAGTTATGTGACCTTGGACCAATTAATTTTTCTTTTCCATTTCTGCCAAAAGGACATATAACACCAGCTATATGGAGTAGCTATGAGGTTTAAATTATTAATTCATGACTGAACAGATATGAAAAGCACATATCTTAATAAAAATGCTAATATATTAATGATGGTGATGAAACTGTTAATACTACTTAAATATTTAAGTGCTTCGTACATGTCTGAAAATGCCCAAAATACTGTTCTAGGAAAGGCAAATATTAACTTATTTAAACTACATACCAACTCTAAAGGTTGACCCCATTTTTTATTTCCGTTTACAGAATTGTACCCTACCCAGATTTTATTCCTGTATTGGTATACCTGCTCTTCCTTCTTTGCTATAAATTTGTATAATCAAGTATTCATTCATTCATTCGGTTTACTTATTTATTTTATCTAAAGAAATCAGTTCACATGACAGTGAGGGCTGGCAAGCCTGAAATCCTTAGGAAGGATGAGCCGGCTAGAGAATCCTAAGTGTTGACCTGAAATTTGGGCAGCAGTTGTAACTGCAGTCTCAAGTTCAAATCCCCCAGGGTAGAAGGCTAAAAACTGAGGCAAGGATTCAACCCTGTGGCCTAGAGACCACACTTCTTCTTCAGGAGACCTTAGTGTTTACCTTTAAGGCCTTCAGCTGACTATATTATGAAGAGTAATCTACTTTCCTCAAAGCCTGCTGATTTAAATATGAATTATATCTTAAAGTATATTGTCCCAGCAGCACAAACAAGTGAGCATCACAACCTAAGTCAAACTGATGCATAAAATCAAGCATCACAGACCGCTAATGTTTGGTATCCTTTCTGAGTCAGCAAACATGTATTGAATACCTTAATGTGGAAGGCATGGAATAATGTGCATTTTTTGCCCTTCTTCTTTCCTCTCTGACAGTTCCATCAGCTTGGGACCTTTGAAACCATCTTAGTCATGCATTTATAGACAGCAACCAAGAGGTCTTCGAAAAATCATTCATAGGGTTACAAAAGTACAGTTTATAGGCGAGTCAGACACTTTACAACTATTTTATGCATGAGGCTAAAATATCCTACAAAGTTTACAGGTTGGTGCTAGATAACACAGTTTATCGGTGTTCCCCGGGCACAGCAGCTTGGTGCTCTTTCCAATGCCTCACCTCATTCCTTCTGCTCGAAGAGGCTCCCTTCCAATGGTTGGTGTCAGAATTCCAGCCTTGGAGATGTGAAAGTTCCATATTACACCTTCCAGCATTTCTAGACATGGGAAGAGGAAAGATTGTTTTATATTTACAGCGTGCATCTGGCTAAGATGAATAGACACATTTTGTAGATGATACCATATTCAGATGCTAGAGAAGTAAATCACAAGTACCATGTATATAAATGCTGGCATTGCTATGCAAATAAACAAAGCAGTCCAAATACAGGACCTCCGGATGTACCTGCAACTCAGGAACTGTTTTTAGGATCTTCACTTGGGAAAATGAACCAAAGAGCTCTGGCTTTTCCTCAATGTATTCATCTCCCAAGCTGGTTTCAGCACCACAGAAAGTGAGTGGTAAAAAGTTCAGTAAACAACATATTGTATTAAAGGAGGTTAAAGCACAGTGTCCACGTTTCCAGATATAATTGGTAAAAGGGAAAAAGGCTTTAACACATAGCTATGCTTTTATTCATCTTGTAAATACTACAGGATAAACAAAGGATGTTGTTATTTTTGGTGATTTCCAAGTGCCTTAAAAAGAAATAACTTGCTAAGTTTAGAAAATGAAAAAAACAAAATTTACTGCATCAAAGAAATAAAGTAGTTTACTAAGTGTTTGATCAATGCTAAAATAAGATTCTGTGCAATCTTCTTGGGGTAAGCAGATGGGAGCACCAAGGAGGAGATTTTGGATTCTGAAGCACTCACAAGTTCCTGTAAGATTTATGAAACCCACAAAGAGGCAGATGAAGCCATCCCTGATTCCATCAAGGCGTTTGAAAGACATGCTCAGAAAGACATAACTCTGATCGGAAGTTCTCCGTTTGAACAGGTCAGCATTAAATATATATGTAAGGCGACCTGTTTTTCAAATGACAAGTTGTAAGATCAGACCTACACACTGATGGTCTGCTGGTTCTGCTTCCCTGCACACTCTTCCTAAAACACACGACTGGTGACTTGATTGGACCTTTCCCCGTGCATTTCACACACAGTTTACCAGGCAGAAGTTACATTCCTTTTCAAAACCTTCCCATGGTCCTTTCGCCATTTACTTTCACTCCATCTGCTTTTATTTTATGCGATAGTGCTCATTTCTAGCAGGGCACAAAGAACCACACAACCCAAAGTCAGCATAAATTTACTTGGATAAATTTATGTTGAACTTAAGTACAGAAGCATTGTATTAGTGTATAAATATTAGTATATAAATACTTGTGAAGTCATTATTTAAGAGACTTGGACATTCTAATTGTTGTGTCTTCAACGACAGCTATTTTGATTTCTGTGTGTGTGCTTTCTATTTATGCTGCAGTATGGTGGGCTGTGGTTTACCAAGGAGAGGAAAGGGGAAAGGGTCTGTTTTATAGTCATCTTACCTGTCTCAAAGAAAAATACTAGGGGCTGGGGATTTAGCTCAGTGGTTCGATGGCCTGCCTTGCAAGCACGGACCTGAGTTTGACCCCTGGTAC